TTTCTATCACAGTTGAATTACAGAAAAAAAAACAAGACCATAGTCTCCTAAGTTTACCAGTGGTTTGTTAGCCAAGCAGAGAAAGCTATTTACTGATAGTTGTGATTATAGCAGCCAAACAAATTTGTACAGAGAAAAGTCTGCTAAAGAGTTTTAGCCTTGGCATCCAAGGGCAGCGATGGTGAACCTTTTAGAGCTTTCAGAAAAAGAGGAAAAAATAAATTTTGTAAAACACACAAAATAGTTAAGATAGTTATAAAGCCAGTTTCTCTTATTTCATTGAAAAGAAAGATTTATTTGGATAGTATTTGATGCTTGTAGCTTGTTCTCTGAGTACCTACTATGAAGACAGCAATGTATAATGTATTATTGTTACTCTCCTATTAACTTGATTTCAAATTCTTGTTTCATCTTATTTCTGTTTTTCTTGTCTTTAAAAATTAAGAAAAGAGGGCTAGAGTAATAGCTTAGCAGTCAAAGCACCTGCCTAGCAAGTGCAAGGACCCAGGTTAGATCCCCGATACCACATGCTGTGCCAGCCCTGGGACTCTGGACCCCCCCATGCTGGCCACTAAAACTGGTGTGTAGCACATACCTGTAATCCCAGCACTGGGTTGGCTGAGACAGGATCACTGTAAGTCCAACCTGTATAATGAGACCCTGTACCAAATAAATAAGTGAATGAATGAATGAATGAATGAATGAATGAATGAATGAAGAAAGGGAAAGAAAAACCAGCCTGTGTAGTGAGATCTTGTACCAAATAAATGAATAAATGGAAGGAAGGAAGAAAAAAGAAAAGAAACAAAAAACCAGGCCACTGCAGCATGCATACCATAGGTTTGCCACCACTAGAGATAAGGCTTAATGGTAGAATGCTAGCTGGCATGCTTAAGGTCCAGGGTTCAAGCCAGGACCAGAGGGTTGTTAGCCTATGGGCAAGAGTTACTCAGAGAAAGATGTTAGAAAGCAACATAAATTGCCAATTAAAGACTGAGTTGTTTTCCTTGACTGTGGTTTATTTGAAGACTCAATACAGAGTTTGAAGGGAGTGAAAAATTACCCTATAATTTACCTTATGGTGTGCAGGAAGCTTGATTTTTATATCCTTTATAATTTGAATCATGTGAAACTAAATTAACATTCATTTGCTAATTATTTTTCTTAGCTTTGTAATAAGACCTATACCAGGGGTCCTGTTTGTTCCCAATTTTTAAACTATTGTCTGCTACATAGGCAGGGTTCTGAACATTTGTCTTAAATATGTCACCTTTAATTTTTAGCTCTTCCCTCATGTATTGTCACTCAGTAACCATTTGTTTTATTTTGTAAGTTTTTCCCCCCCTCCAAATCCACCTCTCTCTATTTTGGTTAATGTTAACTATAAAATGATCTTAGAGAAGAAATCATTATGAGTGTTACTAAGCAAAGATCTTAGAAAAAAAATCATCTAGTCTTCATTCTAATGTTCTGTCTTGGTGTTTTGTTATTAATTGGAGATATTTATGTTTACAGTGAACCTTAATTGTAAATCAGAGAAATGTTGGTTATGAAAAAGAATAATGAACAAACTATGTTATAATTACATCGGTCATGCTATGCTAGTTAAATATAATAAGAGTTTTCAGAGATTGGGTGTGAGGGAGAGGTGGGAAATTACTGATAGAAGGTGAAGGAAGAATTGTCTAATCTGGGATTGTACCAGTTATGTCAGAAAACAAAACTAAGGGGCTGGGGAGATGGCTCAGTAGAATAAGCGCTTCCCTGGCAAGCACAAGGGCCTGAGTTCAGTCACTGGTTCTGCAAAAGGAGGGAAGGAAGGAAGGAAGGAAGGAAGGAGGGAGGGAGGGAGGGAGGGAAGGAAGGAAGGAAGGAAGGAAGGA